ATAAACTTGATATCTTATCTGCTAAAGTTTTCGATCTTTTTTGCTATAATGTCTTTAATCGACGACTTCATAGAACAATCAAATGAGGTGCTGGCGCCGTCTAATGTTAGCAACTTATTTTTGGATGTTCCGGGTTTCGAGCCGGCCGATCCAGTTCATATGGTATTGTACTGCTCTTATTTCTTTAAGCTTTACTAATTAACGTGCTAATGCTGATTCTTATATATATGCTCGCTTAGTTAGAAACTGGTTTTGTTAGTGCTGGTTTGGCTGAAGACGATTCCGGTATTTTTACTTTAGATCGTGTTCAATTTCAACCTCAAGCCCCAATGGTTGCAATGGCAGTATCAAATAATGTTCTCGTAATGGCCTTGGAATCAAATCATATCTTAAGAATTGACTTACAACAAGCACACAATGTTGAAGGTATTAATAATTGGATATTATACTATCGAGGACCGATATAAAATTAATTGTTTTGTCTTAAATATTATTTTTATGTTTTCTTTTTTTGTAATTTTAATGATACTTGAAGAAAATAAAAAGTCTATAAACTTTTCATGCTTCATTTTATATATAATGATGCTTGTTAGATATCGAAATGCCACGTAAATCCAACGAAGTGAAGATCTACAAAGTATTCTTTGATCCAACCGGTCGACATTTACTTATTACCACCGAACAAGGAGAAAACTTTTATATATTTGAAAAATTGAAAAAAGCAAAAGTTCTTACAAAGTTTAAGGTATATTATTTTTACAATTTAACCATTCATTTATATCCTATTATTAAGATTTTAAAATAATATATTTATGTTGAGGAATTAGGGTATAATAATTGAATCTGTTGGATGGAATAAAACCATAGGAATTTCTGACACTTCAACCAAAAAGATTCTAATTGGAAGCCGTAATGGTATGATTTACGAAGCTGAAATAGAATCAACCGATGAATACTTTAAGAGAGGGGGAGGGGATAAATATATCAGACAGGTTCTTTTGACTATTAAAATCATTTAAATGATTTAATTAACATTTTATTGAATATATCAATAATATATATATAATATATAATACCATAATAAAAATTTCAGGTATATTCGTTAAATGATAGTCATCCTATTACTGGTCTTCGAGTCGAAGAGTTTCCTGCCATTCCTCGAAAATATTTCATATTAGCTACAACTCCTACGAGAATATATCAATTCATAGGCCACGCAAACCCTGGTGTTGATATAGATGGTAGCTCTATGTTTGAGGGACTGTTTGCCAAATATGGACATAGCCCAGGTATTATATTAGACTCTTTTCCAATTTTTATCATATGAGTGAGAGTGAAACTATGATTGGTTACAGGTTTTCACTCTCACGCACTCATATGTTTAATACATTCAATCTTTTTTATTCTTATTTTGTTAGACTTTCAGGAAATTCCTGGAAACTTGCCATACAGTGAATTACACTTTTTTTCTCAATATCAAGATATACAATATCAAGGATCGGCTAAAAATTTCGCGTGGTTAACTAGTAATGCTATGTTTATTTATATATAATTTTACACAATATATCTGCAATATATAACATTAAAATATATATTGTATAATTAGCTCCTGGCATTTATCATGGCAGTCTTGTCTTTGGGTCTCAAGACCATGTGGTTGATAGCGCAAAATTGTTACCGTATGTATGAGTATGTATTATTTATGTGCTTTAACATTCATTGACTAAATAATTCTAAATGTATTATTTAGATACCCTTCAATGCCTTCAGAAAATGATCCATCTACCATGGTCACCGAAAATCCTTTGTCAATTGCTCTTACCGAATTTCATTTTATTTTGTTATATAAAGAACGTGTTAGAGCTATTTGTCAGTTAAATGATCAAACTGTTTATGAAGAAATTATCCCCCTTGTAAGCGTCTTTAGAATAATGTTGTAAATAATATTATATTGATAATATTATATCAATAAGGGTCTTTATTCTCATTTTTTTTCTACTATACTGAATCGAAATCTCCGCTTGTAATCGTTAGAAAGCTGGTGAGGAGGTGAAAAGCATGGCTGTAGATAGCGTCAAAAATACATTTTGGATTTATACTGATTGTTCCATATTTGAGCTTATTGTATCAAAAGAAGATAGAGACGTATGGAAGTTGTATCTAGAAAAACAACAATTTGATACTGCTATACAATATTGCAAGGTCATCATTTAAGATCATTATTTAAGATCATTTATATTTTATATAAATTATGCGTGCTTTGCACTAAACTAATATATTACTATATTCTAGAATCCTGCTCAACGTGATGAAGTTCTTACTACTCAGGCAGATTATTACTTTTCTCAATGTCGATTCCTTTTATCGGCAACTTACTACGCCCAATCCACTGTTCCTTTCGAAGAAGTCGCGCTTAAATTTGTAGAACGAGATGAAAGAGATGCATTAAGGACCTATTTATTGAAAAAATTGGAAAAGCTTCGGCGTACGGTAAATAAAATGATTGGTTTTATTTATTTATTTATTCTTCTATTTTTTTATTCTTTTTGTAAATAAATTTTTTTTAATTTTTTATAAATAGGATTTGACACAGAAAACAATGATTGCTACTTGGCTCGTCGAAATATATATTAGTAAAATTAATATGCTTGAGGATTTAACAGCATCAGGTTCTGGTTCCGAAGACACTAGTAATTATAAAGCTGAACAGCAAGCTTTAGAAGGGGAATTTCAAAATTTTTTAGAACAATTCAAGGCATCTATATTTATTTATGAATTTTAGATTTTATACAAATGTGTGTTTTATATTTGCTAATGTACTCTCCAATATTTCAGACAAATTTGGACAAGCAAACAACATACAATCTCATCGCTAGTCATGGACGTACGGATGAGCTCTTATTTTATGCTGAATTAATTGGCGATTACGACAAAGTAATTTCTCATTGGATTCAAGAAAAAGATTATAAACGAGCTTTAGATGTCCTTAGTAAACAAGTATAGTCATTATTGTTGTATCGTATTTAAATTCGTGACAATTTACAATTGTTGACTGATGTCTACGATTTTTTAGGCTTCAATTGATGTTTATTATAAATTTGCCCCAATTTTAATGGAAAATGCACCATATGAAACGGTTAATGTTTGGATGAGACAACCAAATCTCAACCCTAGAAACTTGATGCCTGCGTTATTGAAATACGATCACTCAAAAACTTCAGAAGACGTTACTCAAGTACATGTTGATATTTTCAATTCATATTTCATAATTTAAGATGTCTTTTTTTTTTAATTTCGATATTCAAATTATTATAGAATCAAGCTATAAGATATTTACATTATGTAGTAACGCAATTGAACAACACTGATCCGGCAATTCACAATTTTCTTCTTACATTATATGCAACACAACCTACATCAAATAATGACGAGTCCTCTCTGCTGAAATTTTTGGCTACAGAAGTATACCTAATGATTTTTGATAAATAACAATAAGAATTTTATATTAATAAATTTTGTTTATCAGGGAAAAGAACCTTATTATAACATGGACTACGCACTAAGACTTTGTAGTCAGAATGGAAAGACACAAAGTTGTGTACATATCTATAGCAATATGGGTCTTTTTGAGGAAGCTGTTGACCTAGCCTTAAAGGTATGACATTTATGCAATCTAATTACGTTAAAATCATATTTTATAATTATCCATAAAATTTAATATACAAATTATCCATAAAATTTAATATATACATCATATAGCATAATGATTTGGAGCTTGCAAGTATCAATGCTGACAAGCCAGAAGATGATGAAGCATTGCGTAAAAATCTTTGGCTTAAGATTGCGAGACACGTGGTTGAGAAAAAACAAGATATTAAAATGTAAGCTGTTTATTTTAAAACTAAAACTTTACTATCGATTTATTAATAATGTTTTACATTTTTATTATTTAGGGCAATGGATTTTTTGCAGCGTTGCGAACTCCTTAAGATCGAAGATATTTTACCCTTTTTCCCTGACTTTGTTCTAATTGATAATTTCAAGGTTTTTTTTCTCTCTCTTATTATTCTTATATTATTCGTTAGCTTTTTGTATTTTGAATTCTTCTAATCTTATCGTTATTATTTAAGAGTGAAATATGCGCTGCTCTTGAGGAGTACAATACACACATCGAAGATTTAAAACAAGAAATGGAAGAAGCAACCAAAAGTGCAGACAGCATTCGAAACGATATACGAGAGTTGCGAAGTCGGTGGGTTGATACCTTTTTCGGGGGGTTTTTTTTTTTGTTCGCATGTTTTTGTATTTCCATGACTTAAAAGACATAATTTTGTTAGATTTGCGATAGTCACGTCCGGAGAGAAATGTTCGTTATGCGATTCTCCACTCTTGACAAGACAATTTTACATATTTCCGTGTCAACATGCATTTCATTCTGAGTGTTTAATCCAAGAGGTAAGAATGTATATATTTAATTACTATTTATCCTACATTATTTAAATATTTACCCTTGATTTTTTGTTAGGTTACAAAGCATCTCAATACTGTCCAACTTCGCAAAATTTTGGAACTTCAAGAGCAAATAGCAAAAGAAATATCTAATTTTAATCGTGCGCCAGATAATACAGCACGTGAGCGCAATTCTTTTGCACCTGGAGGTCTAGATCGGTTAAAAGGGTTGATATTACCAGATGTTGCTACACACAGTGGTGACGATGTAGCTGTAGTCGTGTCAAAGGTTGATCAATTGAAGGTATATATAATTTTCTTTTCTTAATATATCATTATATATTTCGTACTTATTAAACAATTGTTCTTTGATTATATGAATAAAGGATGAGTTGGATGACTTAGTAGCCTCAGAATGTGTTTTGTGTGGTGATATGATGATAAAGACTATTGAAAAGCCCTTTATTAATGAAGAAGAAAGTGATCTGCTAGTGTCATGGGCTATCTAATTTTACTATAAATAAATTTTTTTGGTCATGTAAAGTTAATTTTTTTGGTTTTCATAACTCGGTCAGATCATTTTCGCAAACTTTATGTTGGTGGATTTTTCTAGAAATTAAAGACATTATATATATGTATATATATACAGTCAGACCCCCCTAAATGCACCCCCTCTAAATGCAACACCTCTCTAAATGCACGTCTTCTTTTGGG